TTTTATAACGAGAAAAATGTATTCATGTATAGATGATTGCTTTGATAAAGAAAGTATGAAAATTTAAATTTTCAAATTCACATTTAATATTGCAGATATTTGTAGGCTCACGTCCGCTAAATTTTGTAACTATACCTTTGGTATAAAATATATATATATACATATATACACATATATGTAAGTATAATAAAAAAAAAAATAGTTAAAGACTGGTCGTGATTGATGAAATGATAAAACCATTAAGTACAAACTGTAATTTAATTTTTTGTCATTATAACATGTTGCAGACTGGTCAGATGATCAACAATGTTAACATTCGTGTTCAAGAATGGATGTAATAATAACCTCCGCTCCCGCTATACGTCGCCTCTTTGTTGTCGTTTTCTTCAATAAAATGTGACGTCATACTCTAGCATGATATAGTATAATGTATAATATCATACCGAGATAAAAAAAATATTGCAGATACGAAAACGATTCTTGAATCTTTAATCTTGGTACACGATGTATAATATGTTGTCGAATAAATAATAATGGTTACAAACAAATAACCAAACATAATAATTTTCCAACAAATGTGCGAGTGCTTTAATCCCATTAGGGCTAATCACAAATAGACTTCACTCTTTCTCTATTTACTTAACCCACCAAGTTATACAAGAAAACTTTATGAAAAACAAAAATTAGTTCTTAAAGTATATTTTGAATGTGATTTAATCACTCGAAAACACTATTGACGTAAGGTCTTTATAGTTACCAGAACAGTTCCTGGTTTTATTACTCTCGATATTATAATATACTCACGACGCAATTGTATCATCAGAACAAGGTCGTATTCGCCGACTTTGTGTTAATTATTATTATATTTAATTAAGGTACGAACCCGCCGGGTACATGAATGGTGCAACTGGGTATTGTATGCCAAGTATATACATTTTTTATTCGTACACCCATGCACGTGCATACGTATATGTATTCCTCTTTGCATGTTTCAAATTACGTGTAACAAGTGTGGCGATACGTATTGGTATTGCAATTTTCGATCCGAATATATCATCAGCAATTACTAACTGTATTATATATAGAGGCTTGTAATCGAAAACTGCAATCACATTTACTAAATAGGCAAAGTTTAGGTAATGACTAATGAGAATATCCCATTTGATAAATCGTTACTGTCTGATATAATATAATATTATGTATCAGAGTTCAGAAAATTATTTCCATAGTCAATCACAGTAATTAAACACAAGCAGTCAGATAAGTAAGTTATTACTAGGGCGAGGATTCAAAGCAAAAATTATTTTTTTCTGAGTACTTAAAAGCATTGCTTCTCCAGCACAAAATGTGTTCTTCATATCAAAGAAACTCTTACGTTTGAATGATACTTGTTGGTTTTTTTTTGAATTTTTAAACTGTTATGATTTTGATTGATAAAGCATTTTTAACTTTTAAAAGCAACATTCTTAATATATTTTACTGTCAATTTTAAAAAAATTAGTTTTTTTTATACCACCCCTCCATATTACGTCGTATACAATAGAAAAGATATAATAATGTAAATTGACAAACTGCGGCACTGTACATAAGGTGAAAACTAGTTGCGTACTTGCGTCCCAGATAATACATTATGTTCATGTAAATATTGGCTCCCCAATAGATTTTCGACGCATGTTACTACTTAATAGTTTAATGATTTTATGTCAATTTTATGGAATAGACATTTCAATAAAATAAACCAGTGTTTTACCGAATAAAGCTTTTAATAATGATAAAAACATTCATTGTGTATCTTCTACATATGTTTGGCATTAAACAAACTTTTTTCAATAATAATAATAATAGCATATTAACTGTAATGAGAAGGTAAGTAAATACTGCAGAATATAATTAATATTTAGTTTTTGGAAATATCAACATATACATAGTATAGGTATTTTAATTTAAAAAATAAATACATGTATACATAATAGGCATTACGCAGTTTTAGGTATTGTATATTATGTATTTATAACATTGAACAAATTATTTTTAATAATAAAAAAAATATTAATGGTTATTGGCTAATTATTGTTTTGTACAATAAACCATAAATATCATTTACAAATATCCCACCATCACTTTCTTACAAAAGGTATACACGATGCAAGTAATAACTTCCGAAATCAAGATTGAAAATAACCTAACTTTTTATTGACTGATAAATGTCAAATTATCTTGTAATTTACTTTAATCATATAACTATCTATTATAAATAAATATGGTTTTTTTAAATTAAAAATGAATTTGCCGAATTTTAGATCATTCTTTGTACCTTCATAAAAAGCTCTGGTAATGACTTCAAAAAGCCATAGATCAAACATTTAAATGCATTCGTACGGAATTATTATTGTTTTGTTTGCATCTTCTTTCCTTTAAAAGAAGCGATGTAATCGTTGAACGCAATTACATAATCATAATATTAACAACAGAATTATTACAGTCGTACTCGCTAGATTGTCTGCAAATGTAAACATATAATCTTACGAGAAATCCACTCGACCCACTGATCACTGGTACCGTGCAAGTTCTATCGAATCCTGCCATACAGGTCTAGTGTTTTATGTGCACGAAAACCCGTTCTCAAAGCTTATAGAACTGCATAATGTGTCGTAACTATTATCAAGATTATAATATCGTTTAATATTTTGATAATTACATTTAAATTTTGTTTTTGAGTACTCCTTTGTAAGTACAAATTGATTAACAAATACAAGATTCTACTTCTTACAATTGATATGGTCTTCGAATCATCCGGAAACGTGGTGGAGTAGAAAGTGATATTGTTATCATTTGGTAAAATTAAAAAATTAACATTTGGAGAAAAAATATTACGAATGAAAGATTATGTTACTAGATTAAGATCATTTGTATTTGATAAAACCTAAAGATAGGAACTAAAAATAAAACGAATGGACATAGGTTTTACCTAATTATTTACGTTGATTACAAGAAAGCCGTTTCAGTATATTACACCGACTACGCGACATTTTCATGCAAATACGAGTATTCATCTTATATATATACCAAACAACGATCACCGCTAATTTGACATTTTTATAGAATACGAAGACGCGTTATGACTTATCATTTTAAGGGGCCGCCGGGAGAGGGACGCAGTTAATATAATAAATGGCATTTATTTTATACATCAACAATTATAACACATTTTTATCGCGATGGACGAGATGAGTAAAATTTCAGGAAAAGCAACCACCATCATTTACTATACACGTATACATACATGTATTCAGCCTTGTAAGTGACTTTTGATTTCACTGTATTATTTATATATACTTACTACAAGAATGTGAAAATGCAAATATATGAAACGTAAAAAAAAACATAGTTGATCAACCGGATTGCGAATATGGATAATGTTCACCATTATTTTGTATTTAAAAAAATTTTACACGATGGTGAAAAAAAACTTGTTTCATACGATATTTTTCGTATTTTTGTTAAACAATTATGTGACCCCTTTCCGAAACAAAAAAATAAAATGTAGCTCCGGTTGAATTTTAATCTATCTCAGTACACGATACTTATTTAATCCTCGAATATAAGTGCACGGGAAAAGATCTATGTGTCAAGTACCGCTATGGGTAAAGTCAAGGGTATCATTATTATTAAACGCCAAACACGTAGACGTAGGATTAAATAAATCCATGTTAAATCCACTTTGACTTAAAGAAATAATAGATCTAGTCGCAAAAAATATATATTAATAACAATAATAATCGTTTTATCAAACGTTATTTATACTGAGAAATTAAAAATAAAAAAAAAATGTAACATTAAACTCGGAATAAATTTAACTGAACGAATCAATTTAAAAAAAAATTAGTAACCTTTTACAAACATTATAATAACATTTTGTAACATCAATACCAGTGAAGTAGCTGAGAGGGTCGAGGACCCTAAATTTCAGTAAAATTTAAAACTACTTTCAGTAACCAATTAACGTATTGCCAAAGGTGTGTATTACAACAGTACAACTGTAATTCATAGGATTCTATGAAGTTTGCTGCAAAAGTCTAAAATGTCTACTCATGATATCAGCAAACCGATGTTGTAAAGGATCCTAGTTAAGTTTTCCCCTGTAGAACAATGTATAGCAAAATCCTGCCTACTCCTCCTCGATAATACTTAATATTAATGTCATACATTTATGACGGTCATTTGGACGGTCGGTCAAGTATTATGTTATGCGAATCGACGATTCGCATAACTACGAAGGAAAGTACCTACATAATATCACATCAATGAATACAACCAAGACGGCAAGATGACACCGATATTAATGGAATAAATCGTGATTTCACTACCTAACGATATGCCTACAAATAGGTATACAAATGCACATACACGAATACACAAATACACAAGCACATAATATAATAGTTTAATAACATAGACACATTGCTATCGCGAGTCATGGTAGGGTGTAGTGAAGAGGAGCAGGAGTCAGTAGTACGTCTCCGCACAAGAGAGACAACCCCAAAACTCCGAACGGAATGTTCCTAACCCATTGTATTCACCTGACCGGGTGTAGGGTGGACTAGCGGTGGTTACGCTCTCCCCCCCCCCCCAACACAAACACACACAAACACGAGACGAACCTGTTTTTTATAATTTTTTTTTTATATACACACGGCTATATGAGGTGCGGTAGTATCATATTATTATTATTTAGTCGTCCTGTAACACATCCGAAACGGTATATTTTTATAACATTATGTAGGTACCTAGGTATCTATTTAAACATGCGCATTCATAACTACTTCGATTGTGTTACGTGGAAATAATTCACGATCGGGTGATTTTGATTCATCCACATTACGTTTTTATGATAGTAAAAATATGATTTTTTTTAACAGATAGAAATGCAATAAAAAAAAATTGAAATATTGAAAACCGCATAATTCTGTAGGTAAGTAAATTGACCATTGGGTACTCACCAAATATCACGTCAGTGAATTATTCCTCTACGGGAGTCGTATCTTCGATACCTATATGGATACAGTAAGTTCGTCTGAACGGCACTAGACTCGGAAGATATCTGTATTATCGTGAAATGCGTATTCGATTACATGACGTTTTGCCTCAAGCAAATTGACGAGACCGAGAAAAAAATTATGATAATAATTGAAATTCACACGAGCGCACTGAGCATTAAAAATATCGTCACAATAATAAAGTGTAATGTTAAATGAACTATAATCACAAAAACGTCGTACCGGCGAATTTTTCGTACAATAATAATTATTTTTAAGAGCGATCGGCAACAAACAACGACGTTTATCCGTTAGCCATTGGTGCACTGACTCTGTGGTGGTTTCGATGAAGTCGCGCGGCTGGCACGGCGGCTTTTCACCGGACAACCAATTACCAACTGTGCAGCGATAGTGCGACCGCGCAGTGTGTACCAACTGCGTTACGGCGACGACGCGAAGCGACTGCAGCTGCTACCTTGTGCGCGTACAGGTAAGTTACCTACAGGTACGCATCGGCCTCCGTCATACAGGTTCTTTATGCGACGGCACACATCCCCTTGTTACATTTTTAAATTGTTTCCTTTATTTATTAGATAAATTCAGACGAGACATAGTATTATTGTTTTGAAAGTTCGGTATTTTTATAATATTTTATATTACACAATCTATAGATAGGTACATATTATAGTACTTTAACTATTATTTTACGTACCTATAATTATATAGTATTATAATTATATTGAACGCAACAACAATTATTTAAAATACATTCTACACTTAAGTCTTAATCCAAATCTATTTTTGTAAAGTATTAAAAGTATTTAAAATACTCATTGTATATCTACTATTTTCATTAGTATCATTCGTAATGGTACCTAAAACACTCAAATATATACCAAAAATATTCAATTTTTATTTAAATAATACCTTATAAGAAAATGTTATTAAATAAATTAAATAAGTCAGTATTTCACTTAAATAACATTAACTGTTCGACAATTTGAAATGTTCATTATTGTTGTTTATATAGGTAATATACAAAACTTTTCTATAATAATAGATATTAGATACGACATTTTAAGGAATTACATTTCGTCAATTTTACATTCAAAATAAATATTTAGTAGGCATACCAGTGAAATAATAAAATAAATTTGTATGTACCTATAATTAAAATGAAGACTCATTTTCACAAAATTATTACAAAAAATAAAATAAAACGAATAACCACTAGGAAAAAGAATATTCAATGTCAATAATGAGTATTTAAATCTTAACTGTAGTTAGGTGCGCTGACTGAGCAATGAAAATGCACAGTGTGTCAGTACAGGTATTGGACATTTCGTGTGTCTAAAATACGAGCAGTGGCCAGTGAGCACGGAAATCATTATTATATACTATTATTCATAAAACAGTACAAAGTTAGGAAAAAAACATTGATTTTATAACATTAGACAGTTGATTACATACTACGTCAGTAAACTAATCTATAACTAGTAACTAATCAAGATTAAAACTTTAAACTAAAATAAAATTTTTGTAAGACAATAATTTTAGGTGTAGGGATTTACATAATACATTATACACTATTACACTGTCTTATAATATGAACATATCGCGTTTGTTCGTTTATGATTAGTGATTATATGTGTAACAAAAGGAAGTCCCAATAGACTGCTTTTTGGAGGAAGGGTTTTAACTAATCAAATTTAATCAAATTTTGGTCATTATTATTTTATATTTTGTATAGACATCATTATGTATTCATTTTTTATTTTGAAAATTAAATATTGGCGGGTAGTTACCTCTCCCCAACCAATTGGGAATTATGACCACTTATGATGTAAAAGTGATGCAACGTTAATATTAGCTATAATTTTTGAAACATCGACATTTTATGAAACAATCTGTAAGTTATTTGCTATTATACAATAATATATAATAAGTTGATGCGTGCTGTCTTATTTTTGTGGAGAATAATATAGGTACCTACTTAATATTACAATATCGTATATTGTTCAACAATTATTTATATTATACAACTTAAAACAAACATCTCTCCGCAACGGCCATGTATGTTTTAAATAATTGTTTTTAAAAATCAAGTTTTAAGAAATAGAATTAAATGTTCTAAGAAGACTTAAATCGTAGGTTCTGTAGGTTTGCGTTTATAAATTAAATTCCTATACCATAGAATAGAATCAGAATTTGTATGTGAACAGACTTGTCGAGTTTAAACGATTGAACGACCAGTGATTTCATCATATATAAGTATACAATATCGAATATCAAAATGCATATTTGCAACTATGCAGTATTCATTAATCATTGCACTGCAGCTTGCTGACAAATAATATCCTTTACTTTAAAAAAGTTTTTTTTATTTTAATTAATCATAAGCTTCGACAGAAGGGGTCTAGCTTTTCATATGGTATTTTATATAGTTATACAATAAAATATAACAATTTAAAAAAAAATTTTTTTATTCATGGTACAGTTTCAACTGCTAAGGTTATTAGCTTGTAACAAAAAATGAGAGCATTTGGTTACATAATATAGTAAAACAATAGTTCCTTAACTTAGTTTATACATGTTAATTTGTTTTTGGTTACAATAAATAATATAATAGGTCCTTAAATTAGGTTGTACATATGAATTTGTTTTAGAAATGTAATTATTTTATTGGTGTTGTCATAGGTTGAACTGAGGTCTTCGAAGAGGTTGTCGGGTAAATCTAGACTTTTCTGGTATCTATAATATGATTACGACAGTGGACAAGGAGGTGCTTGACAAAAAAAAAAAAAATATATAAGTTATTATTAGTAATAATAAATTATTACTATTTGTATTGTATTAAATATAATTCTCTATATTTCTTTAGTTCGGTACACATGTAAAATGAAATGACGTCTTCTGATTGGCATGACAGTTAGGACCGATATTAGGGGTTTTCTACTATATCGTATCCTAGCATAGTATTATTTTAGTATTCAACTAAAAAAAAATTATTTAAAAACTATTATTAGTAGTAGTATCACTAGTATTAATCTAACGTATTTATACGAATAAAAACGCTGATGAAGTCAAACGCCTTAATAAAATTTTGTAAAATAAACCATTATATAGTCATAAGTTTATGAGTCATAACAAAATTTTATTTACTATATAATAATGTCACTACTTAAACAATTACTTTTACAATCCCTGGTCCCTTTCGTCAACACTTAAAACGTATTTAAAGTGCTGCTGAATGTAAAAATACTTTCATGATTATACTTATGTAAATTGAACGACACATTAAAATTGTGATAACTAATGCGAATTAAATGTCCTCAAATCATATTAATTTATAGGTCAACTGTACCATATATTTCTCGTACATAGAACGATGTTAACATATAGGTAATAGGTTCGTGGTATAAAACCCCTCCAGACCAATATCATGTTCTTTTTCGATATTTTAAGGTTGCTTTAAGAAAATCTTATGATAAATTTAATACAAAATTTTCAAACCTTGAAACTGTTATAAAAATCGAAAATCTTATAATTTTTTATTAACATTTAAAGAACAAAATAATCAAAAACCTCTTATGAATTTGACAGTTTAAATAATTTTTACTACTTATTATAAAAAGTAAACACACTTCATAGTTATAAATCGATACATTTTATCACTTCTGCTCAGAATATCATAAGGTTCTAATAGCCATTTAAAATCAAATTGTTACATTTTTAAAATAATTGTTTTCTGATTAATACAGTTAAGACGTTAAGCTATGCTTAGTACTGCAACCCACAAAAGCATTGACTTTAATCCTGTAGCTATATATCATGAAACCTAAGTTTTATAAATTATATTATAGTTTTAAGAGTATATAGTTCCAAATCACTACAATAAGAATTTATTCCTGAAATTAATGATGTTTAATAAAACTTTAAGATAATATTTTGTAATTTGTACAGTCGAACAATATAACAAACACTTTTACGTTTTATAAAATATACATAATATGTAATGGTAGCTGTAAAAAAAAAATACTACCTATAAAACGATCAAGCATGAGGAAAATGTTTTATGTTGTAGCATATTATTAACTACTTAACAACAATAAAAATGTTTACTAGATGATAATGTTATTATCTACAAATTGAATTTACAACCTGACCAAGTACAATCATGCAAGTTGTAAAATATGCGTTATCCGTTTATGGTCAGTAAAATTAAATTGTATTATAAAGAAAAAAATTATAGGGTTGATTTATTTTTGATGTTGTGGAGGATTATATGAATATTTTAACAGATTACAACAATATAGTAATTTGATTTTATATTAAGTAGTCTATAGTTACTTATCTATAATAAGAAGCTCAAAATTAGACAAAATTGAACATTTAAACGAAAAATAAAGTATTAATTATCATGATTCTTCATGTAATTTTCGTTTAATTGTTATTAAATTTAAATTACTATTCGCAGGGACTTGACACTTGAAACTTTTATGAACAATAATAATATTTAAAGTATTTAAACTAATTTTAAGCTATTGTGTATTCATACCATAAACCTATATCCACGCCGTTCGACGATAAACCAGTATTGACTCGAAAATACTTACTAAAAATACTCAATAATACTAAGAAATTATTATCCAACTATATGCTATTTTAATTAATAAAATAATAAATGTGTTCACTTAGCAATGAAATATATTATATTAAAATATACTTAGTAATAGAGCCTGATATATCATCTCCAGCCAAAATTGTATTTCATATGTAATGATTGATCATTTAATTCAAATTTAACACATATATTGCAGTGGACTACTCAATCACGATTAACACACATAACCTACATCTAAGTGACTTATCTCATTTGTTTCAAATATTTTTATCGATCCCTTAAAACTAAAATATGTACTTTATAAAATCGTTCTTTGTTAGTTTATTTTGTTTCAGTTCAGAAATAATTACATTATGTGTACTTTAAATTTCCACAAACTATTTATTTATCTTCCTGTTTTATATCGGTACGAAAAACATATTCCAAAAATGCTCATCTCTTTGGATTAAAATGTAGCCAATGTTTTTCTTTTTCTTAGTTTCTTTTTTTATGAATTTCATATATTAGTTCTTAAATAACTAGCACAACATGATAATACATTTATTTATTCGTGCTGTTGACAGACGATGTCTTATTTGTTTTATTTTGTTTTTTGCTAAAGTCCACTGGAGTTTAAGAAATAGCTAAATGTATGTCATTAATGCCATTTGTCACCAGAATACAATAAAAGTATATTTTATTTCTTTCTTTGATGAATACAAAAAAGTTAAATCCTATTATTTTGTTTCAATGACAACAAAACAAAAACAATAAAAATTACACCATGCAGTCCATTGTCAATGAATTCATTATGGGGTAGTGACCAA